CCAAACTGACTTTTGCACGGCACCCTACTAACTGGTCCCCAACCGTGCACCAAATTTGAGCGCAATCGGCCCAGCCGTTCTCGAGATCTGGGAGCGCCCCCTGCACGTGCGCACGTGCAGTAGCACCCTAACCGCAACACATGGGAATGCATTGCCTGGTGGGTGCCTACCTGTATGCCAAGTTTCAGCGAAATCGCCCCAGTAATTACCGAGTTATTGCATTGGGAACAAATTTGGCACCTCTTATTGTTGTATTTTGCACGTGCACTGGGGGTCACTCACATAGATTAAGAGTATCCGACCTTTGGTAGAAGGGATGCAGCTACCCTACAAAAATTACCGCAAGACAATCGCCCAAGCGGCTGCTGAGATATGGGCCTCTCAAAATCACTACTTTTGCAAAACAGCTTGAACACCCTTGACTTTTCACGTGGCACGTGCCACGACGGTCACTGAGATGTATCAAAAGTAGTCAATTACGGGGTAGAAGGGATGGGGCTACCCAGCAAAAAAGACCGCAGGCCAATCGGTCCAGCGGCTGCTGAGATATAAGCCTCTCAAAAGCGTAACAGGCTGGGCCGGGCCGGGCCGGGCCGGGCCGGGCCGCTCATACTGAGATTTTTCCGTTATATTGAAAAGACTCGCTTCGCTCGCTGCGCTCGCTCGCTCGTAATCAACAGATTCAGACGTCTGGCGGCCAGCGCGACTTTAGAACTAACGTGGACTGGCAACTGCAGACTAATCATATCGGTAAGCTTGCCGTAAACAAACTTAAGGTGCAGTTGAAATTGAGGTCAAACAAATGGAAAGAACTAAACCTGGAGCAACATCTTCCTACTAACCGTCACGGAGCAGTGAGACCAGTTTGAATCCGTCTCATGTCTCCTGTTCTGTCTGGTATTATCCCTTCCCTGACTGTTTGACCCTAGCTTGTAAACTCTTTGCTGCTCCATCTACACTGTTCCCTCTGCTTCGGGGAGTAGTTAATTGACGCCACCAGCTGCCGAAGGTGGCACGTTCAGGGGAGCGGATGGCCTCGACCTTTTCACCGCCGGTTACCGAAGCAGACCTCCGGCTCCGTCCCAGCTGTGTCGCAGTCACTCCCACGCGCTCAGCCGACCCGAAATGAGTTAACGCTGTTGACACCAGCCTCCTCTCCTGGGAGCACAGGCAGGCGGTGAGGGGCACTTCCATAGTGTCCTCGGGAGGACTCCCGGGCTGTCCTAGGGTGACCGGCCGAGTGCGGCTGGTACCGATGGCCCGACCGATCCTCACCGGTCCATGCTCCGCTGGTGAGTGGCGGAAGCGGAGGAGGGCCGCCGTCACAGCGGATACCAACGCGGTGTCCGCTGAAGGGCCCTCCAGCGATGAGTGAGCTGGCGCTGCCACCGCCCTCGTCAGCGGCAGCTCGCTATAGACGTGACGCATGGGCGCGCGGCGCGTCACGGAGCCTTTCACCTCATCGAGCAGTCTACAGGGTGTTTCACTAAAAGTGTCAAAAAGTAAATGCTTATTAAAGATATATAAAATATGCAAATCACGTGGTTGCGCACATCGCTTTGTTGCAAATTTTTGGACAATTATGCTTTGTCCATTTAATATTTTTTTACACCCATACGGAGCGAGGGCAGGAGGCCAAAGTTACTAGTCGTTTTTTTTCCTTATGCAGATCAAGAACAGGTTATTTACACCTCAACAGGAGGGGTGAATTACACTTACATTTGGTGCCATCAGAAACATTGAAACCGTACCGACTTTTCTGGAAACGTTTTACTCTCTCACCTCGCTACGTTCCAGATTATAAAAGTTTAAAAAGGCTTCTTAAGAGGTTTAAAAGGCTCCTTCGATGCCAGTTCCAGTCCAAAAAAGGCGGGGTCGCCCCCACCTCTCGGCGGAAACCGTTGAAAAGGTCAGGGTCTTTTTGAGGGCCTTTGAAGATAACAAGAAGCTAATTTCAACATCAGAAATAGCCAAGGCCTTACAAGTTATCAAAAACAGCCACTGTGACGGCTGTAGCCACCAGGAACTGGCTGGACCAGAAGTTCCTGGGCCAAATAATCAGCTGCCTCACCACCCGCCCCCATTGCCAGCGCGAAGCCCCGATCTGTCACCGCTAGACTTCTGGTTCTGGTCAGTGACTCAGTAGCTCTCGCAGAGCTGAGGAAGACTCAAGTCGCATCACTTCGGGAGCTGAAGAGCACAATTCAAGGCTTTGCCGACAGTCTGGACGCTGAATATGAAAATGGGCTGTGAGGCACGTGAGGCACGTGTCCGGAACACGTGCCGAAACGGTGCATCAAAAGAAGGGGCGGATATGTGGAATAGGTTTGAGTGACGGTGATATCGTTGTTATATATTCAAATGTCCAACAATTGCGGATGAAATGATATGCAAATTACCTTAGAAAACATTGTTCTTATGTGCATTATGACCTTTTACTTTTTGACACTTTTAGTGAAACACCCTGTATACTGCGCCGCAGCGGCGGTCGGCCGTGCGCCGCTGGAAGCCGTGGCGCTGTTTGAATACGTGGCCGAGGCAATGTGGCGAAATGTTTGCGATGGGCGGCCAGCGTGGCCGCAGGTTCAGGTAATGTCAATAGTCGTGCTGTCATCTACGAAACACCGATGCTGGTAGCTGGGCCTAGCCTGCATTACGCACATCGTTCTGTGTTGAGTTGCATGTAAACCACTTTGCAGGATAGGGTTACGCGCATTAGACCACGACTTACATGTTCTGCTAAATACTGAGTCAAGCTGCACCGTTGGCTTGTGGATTGTACTCATGTTACAACATATATTTAGAGACTGATGGGTGACTCTGATGTATACCTCAAAATGAGCTATGCTTCGAACTTTACCAAACAATGCACACTTTCTCCAATGTGGCCTAAGAAGGCGCTTCAACCCTATCCGCCTCTAGTGCATTAGCAAAGGTGAATAAAGCCGCGCCTTTTCCTGAATTCTGTCTCAGAATTCGGATTTTCGGAACGTTTTCAGATAGGTCAAGCACGGGTTTTGTTGTGCTATGTTCCAAGCACCAGTTGTTCACTTTGTTCTTTTAATGGGACTTTGACATGCTTGTTCTTCATTATGAGTCAACACATCTGTGTGAAATGTTCATTTGCTCAATCATAACAAAGTGCCTGGTAATGCGCTACGATGGTAATTTAGTTTTAAAAAATCCAAGTCAAAATGCGGAAACACTTCACGTTGACCTAAGCGAGTAGCATGGTGCTGCCGAGCGATAAATCTGACATGACGACCACCTCCATCAGTTTATTGGAGGATATTGATATTGCAATCAATAGCTTATTATTTGACTGGCATTCGACTGAAAATGATCGAGAGGCTCGAGTGCATTTATGAGCATCGTTACGGCATAATGGCAATAAACGAGTTCCTGAGACGTTCTTTTCATGTACAATTGGTAGCCTACCTTTTGACATTATTTGATACCCACAGGCCATAAGGAAATCCGTGCCTTATGACGACGTTTTTCATGAAGCTTCACAAAAGAATAACTTAAGAGACAACAGCTAGGTACCGCCTGCCAGCGATCAGGAAAAATTCAATATTGCATGGACGCCGGCTATAAACCGTAAAATTGCATTATTTTAACCATGGCACAAGGCATTAGAGGCCCACCAGTTTTGTATGACAGCTGTTTTGTGGTGCTGCTGCCCGCCTCCAGGGATCGGGGCGAAACGGTAACGTCGCATCGTACGCAGCATACCGCATCACGAGATGCTCCGAGAGAAATAACTCAGCCGCAACACTAGAGAAGGCCTAGCACGCAGCGACTATCACCATAGTAATGCAGTCAAATGCAGCGTAAAGCGTCCCCACTCGAAGAAACACGACATGATAACAGAAGTTGGTCTGGCGTCAGTCCAGGACCCGTTGACGCGGCACACAAAAACAGGGGGAGCATTCATTCTGGCCAGGGTTCATATTGTCCAGGGTATGATATGCCCAGTGCCGAAGTGGCCAGTGCCTTGAATGGGCCAGAGTTCATATTGTCCCGGGATTGCATGGTCCAAATGTGGCCAACTGGCCTAAATAATACGCACCCAAAAACAGCGACTCTGGCGGGAATGCGGCCCACTGGCAGGGCCGGCTCGGCGCCGCCGCCGCCTGGCGTGGTATACTGTGCCGCATTTCACTAGTGAAATGCGGGACAGCATACCCATTACCCACGCAGGCGCTTTAACTACTCGTGTGTTGCGAACAGTAGGTATACAATACAGGCGCTCTCAGCGAATTGGTGCGTTGGGTGTTTTGAAATCATTACCAGACGGTAAGATGCTAAAACATATGAGAATCAAGCCGCATAGCGAAATTTAAGTGTTTATGTATTGTGTGGAGTAGGAAGGGCAATCTGACGGCTGTATACTACCAATCAATACCTTCCAGACAATACAGCAGCACCAAGTTTTGACGCTTTGCAGAGCCGTCGGGAGTGGATTTCGTCCTCGTTTTGTCGAGACCGGATTCATCAATTACCCGTGATGAGGGCGTTTTGTCACCGCCGTCACAGAAAGGACGTGCCTGCGTCTGCGGCGTTTTTAGGCGCGCTTCTCGGGGCGTGTCGCTGACAACAAACGATCTGACGTGATGTTCACAAATGGCAGCATCAGTCACGCGACCGTTCTGTACAGACTGTGTGGCCTGTGAGTCAAACCGGACTCGCTCTCGTCCTAGCTCTCTCGGCGCCGGCTGCCGAGTCTGGTCGGTGTCTGAGCACGAGCTGGGAATATCCCGAGCGTAGAGAGGTCACAGGGGTCGCTGGGTGACCAGGAAAATAACGAGCCGACGAGCAAAGGTCACGACTGGGTCAGACTGGCTGCGTTACTAGTGAGAGCCAGGATGAGCGTGGGCGTGATAGATAGACAATGCAGCCAATAAAGAACGCTCGTTTGGGCGAGTCTCAGCGTGTGAAGCGATATTGTATATAGCTGATCGATCTGTCTCCAAGTGGGATGACTGTATGTTACTGACCTGTTCGCTGCCTGGGTGGGCCAAAAATAGTCCTCGCCGCTTTTTAGCTGATCTAGATGGAGCTACCAGGCTGACTGGTGCGCCGGTGGCCACTCGTGTCTTATCCTGAAAGGGAACACCAGAAAAGATGCGTCAAAGCGAGCTGCAGGTTGCTCTGGAACAAAAATAAACAAGTAATGGTGTTGAGCTGTGAAGAAATGCCAGAAACTCATATTGTTTGACTGTGCCCCATAGGCGGCGGAATGGGGGGGGGGGCACCGGGGCACCGTGCTCCCCTTTGATTTTGGCATTTTAACATTAGCTCTATGGGCGTTGCATGGAAAAATGGGACCAAAAGTCGGCAGTGCCCCCCCCCCCTTAATTGAAGGTGTTCCGCCGCCACTGCTCTGCCCCCAAGTCAAACCGTATATGTAGACCGTCGCGGTTTTTAATCGGTTTAACCAATGTCCGTTACAGGTTTGACTGGGTTTCTGACGCTATATTTTTAGTGTCTCAGTGTTACCGTGAGTATAGATCTATGCATCCGCCGGTGTAGTCTGGCGCCTTGTATCAGTTCCGTCCCGACCGGCGGTGTGTCCTACCCGGCCGCCTGCCAGACACGCCTGTAAATCGACCCGTATCCCCGCCCTCCCCCGACCCTCCCCCGCGCCTGTCCGGAGGCGCCGGCGCCGGCTGGTTTCCCTCTGGACGCAGTCACGTGGCCTGTCAGCCCCTCGGTCACGTGAGTCACGTGACATGTCAGCTCCCCACAGACCAGGCCCGGCTCGGAGAGCCGGAGAGGCAGCCGAGGTCTCAGAGCTCGTCTGTCGCCGGCGGTGACACAAGAATGCTCACAGTAGCCGGCCGGCCGGTCAGGAACGCACACTTCTTCTCGGCGTCTGACCACGATTGATCACGGCCGCCTGGTAACGAGACGGCGACCGAAACGCATAGGCATTGGCCAGATTCCTGCGATTGTTCAGGATCAGCGATGACCCGGGTTTCTTTTGTCAAACACACAGCGAAGTAGCACTTCTGCGGCGAAGAGGACCGCCGCCAATGTGGCCGTTGAAGTCAGAAGAGTTTTAAATCCTGACTTGAGTGCACAGTTTGCATTTGCTACTGCCATAGCTGAGGGTCGTGTTGAATTCGTTGGCTTCCAGACCACAGGCCCCACCACTTCTCGAATCTCGAGGGTTTCTGGGGATGGTTGTTGGCAGACGGGAGGATCTTGAGGTGGTTTGTTCCACAGCTAGAGTGTGCTGGAGGGCTGTTCTGTCTGGCTCGCTGTCACGAAGAGATTCATTTATGGGCTTACTTCCGCCGGCATATTAACTGCTGCTAGATGAGATCCTAGGATGTTGTAGCGAAAAAGAGTCTACCTTGTTGGATATAAAAGCGGCCTGTATAAAATGCAGAGGGCCTGTGGCACTTTGTATCCTGTATAGTGCGTAGGCACAGTAATAATGGATTTAAAGCGTTTGCAGTCATTGGAGATGCCGTGCCCATTATTGGCGAAAGTGTGTCACATGGGATGTTATGCAATGCTTGACTTTTGATCCACTCCTAATGGATTCAACTTGCATCCGCACATCGATAATGAGTTTTGAACAGCATCATTAGCAAAACGATATCGCAAACTTCACTTATTATCATTTGAATAATAATTAGCCTACTTGATATTTTTACGAAGTTATCTGTACGTCTCGCAAAACTTTATCTAATATTACTTATCAGCTCTAACCTCATCAGTACAGTCACATAAATCCAATTGGTTCTCATTCCGTCCGAAAGCTAGGGCTGTCTTGCTGCCCTGTCAATTCTCACGGGAAGACGGCCGACGATTGTTGCCGTGTTGGTCCGACGGCACGTGGCACACTGTCGGCAGCGACAGCGGCCCGCGGCCGCTTAGGACTGCCCGGGGACAGGCCGGGAACAGCCCGGGACTTTTGGGACCGTCTCGGCCGCCTGTGTCGCCGGTCCTGTTACATCCGGCTCTGTGACTGATCACCGGCATTATTGCCGACGAGGGCTCAGCGAGGCACCGGCAAGATCTGTATCTCGCCGGGGGCGCACGAGCACAAACTGACGCGGGGCCCCACCCCCAGCCATGAGCACACAGTGACCGATTTTCATCAACTGTTTGGCCATGTTTCGGCGGCGGAGGCGGTGGCGAGTGTGTGCGCCCGCTCGTCGCTGCTGCGGTCACCAGTATTTACCGAGTCAACAGTGCGCCGACCAAAAACACCGTCCCAGGCAACTGGCGCCGACCAAAAACACCGTCCCAGGCAACTGGCGCCGACCAAAAACACCGTCCCAGGCAACTGGCGCCGCGCCGGTCGGCTGGGTCGGGCCAAGGCCGCCTCGCCGCCCTGACCTCGTACACAGACAGAGCTGACGGTTTGAGCTGAGACTGCAGAGGTCAAAAAAACTTCCTACTCGGTTACATTGTAGGCGACAGAAGCTGGCAGGCACCAGAGACATTTGGTGACAAAGTCACGAAAATGGTTAACACACTGCATCGCATTTGTTGACGGCGTTTGCGCACACTGCTAGCGAACAGACTAACCAGCCAATCCGCGGCGAGAATAACCCTGAGCGAACCAATCGGATGCTGGTGACACGAGGGGACAACGCTGAGCTGACGCCCCAGCCGCCAGGGAGCCTTCACTGTGGATTTTGTAGGCCCCAGGAGCCAACGCATCAAAGATTTTGAGCGGGCCTTTTCGGCGAGAGGTATAGGTACTGTGATCATGAACACGTAGCAAAACAGGAGTGGACTCTCGCGAGTAGTGCTCAGTGCTTGTCCAATTTTCAAACAAGTTTGAATGCTTTCAAGAAAGGGACTGGCGCCGTGATGAAAGCTGAGTTGTATTGTGGTTATGATTTTTTTCTGTTTTAAGCAAGGCAGGACCTAACACTGGAAGTAAGGAATCTTGGGTTGTCTAATTTTGCTGGTTTGGGTACTTGTAAGTTGGATATAACAACGCTAGCCCTGTGGGTATCAAAAGCAAGGCTATTTGGATTTGTTGCCTGATTTTGAAACACTTGCCAAAGCTGTCAATGAATAGGTGTTTTGTGTTACTATTGACACAACTTTCATTTTGATTTTAATTTGTTCAGCCCTAGAAGAGCAGGAATTTCAATTTTCATTGGCTAGTAAAAGTATACCAGTCCAAGGACTCCGAAAAAAATGTTGTAGGTTGGTATGTAGGTTGTAAGCTGGGAGGTTGTAGGCTGGTAGGTTTTCTGTTTTGTGTTGGTATGTTGTAGGTAGGTTGTAGGTTAGAAGGTAGGTATGTAAGTTTGGTTCAGGCTTAATTGTTTTCCTTCATTCCGACTTCTACTCTTTTACTCTTGCGTAAAGTGTTTGAGAAGTCTGAATGAAAGAAAAACATCATTACCTAACCTAATCTTACTTTCTACCCTTTCACCTATTACCTACCAGCCTACAGCCTATCTACCTTCTACCTACCTGTACCTACAAGTTAAAACTTCCTTACCTTAAACCTGCCAACTGACAAGCTCTGAAGCATACAACCCACCTACCTAGCACCTACACCTTTTTTATTTTGGCTTATTGTACACATACTAGTACCAAAAAATCTAATGATTATAATTTTTGTTTAATAAAATTAGTGGCATTGATGTAGAAAAGGAACCTTTTGCAACATGTTGCATAGGTAGGTATATTGTATTGTACATAGGCACCTATTATTTGTTATGTCATAACAGGTGTGAAATCTCACCATATGGAACACAAATCTAAATGTATTATGGAAAAATGTAAAATAGAATGTCAGCAATTCTTAAATGCATCTGCACAAGATTAGTTACACATGCATTCAGTGTCCCAAAGTTGAGTTTTGGCTGGGGTGTCAGAGGGGGATATTATCCACCAAAAAGGGGTAAAGGGTGGAAACTGGAAACTGCTGGTTAGATTTGATACAAAAAGAGTGAGAAAAGATCAAAAGCATTTATTTTTATCCATGAGTATCTATGATCATAAACCAACTCCAAGTATCCACACAACTCAGTCCACCACACCTGCCCACCTGTCCAAGTCCACCACACCTGAACTGCCTTTTGAGGTAGCAAGGTGTTCTTGGCTGAGAGTTAACTGCTCTTAGAAATTGATGGTGAGAGTGGCAAATGAATCTGAATCTCAGTATTTCCCACCCAAATCAACAAATTTTGGGACACTGTAATAATACATTATCCAGGTTTAGGGCCACACTAACATTGACGACACTAACATTAACATTGGCCTAATGAATCCTATAATTTTTCAAATTTTACCACCCTAGTGCAACACTTATCCGGCCTCCGGGGGCAGGGGACACAAAGGGGGTTGGAAAATTTTGTAGGTGACACAAAATAAGTTTTTTTGACCTCTGTGAGACTGGTTGTGGTGGCTGGCCAGCGCGACAGCTGCGGGATCTTACACTGGGTAAGTGAGGCGACTGCTGGTCCGCACTGAGTGGATATGTGTTGGCTGGCTAGCGGCTGCTGATTGCTACTTTGTTGGTTATTGGTGGGCGGGTGCGGCGGCTCGACGCTCGTCACACTTAGTGGCTGCGACGGCTCCTACCAGACAGCTGACATCGGTTTACGGTGACAATCACGCGTCCAGACAACTGTGGTGAAGATGTGATGGCGAGGGCACGGATGCCGCTAGTGACCTGGGGATGGAAAGGTGCAATGGGAAACACGGGTTCTCTGATATATTGAGATACTGGTTTCCACTGCAGGTCCACGGCTGGAAAGGTGTAGTAAACTGCTGGAAATGCACTGAGCTGTACCGCTGGCTCACTGCTGAGAAGGTATAGGAATGTTCTATTGGCTCACTGCTGATAAGGTGCTGGAGTGTGATTGGTTCACTGCACTGGAAACGTACTGAGGTGTACTGCTGGTCGAGTGATGTGGGAGGTGAAGTAGGAGGTGATGTAGGAGTGAGTGAGGTAGGCGGTGCAATCAGTTGGGAGCGACCAGTGATGCAACTGAATGCTGATGTTAAGATATTAGTTTGAATTTTGAACATTCTGCTTCGTTGATGCGTGGAAAATCCTCTAGAGGTGGCGCCAGGCCTTTGTGCTTGAAATTAGAGATAGCTTTAAACGCGCCGT